GTTGGGGATGATATTGGAATGAATTTCTGTAGTGTGGCTGCTGGAGAGATGGGCAAATCTGATGTAGTTTCACCGCCTGGTTCTCCACAAAGAAACACTCCTGTCCATGAGCAAGTCTGTGATGACAATGACAATGATTCAAGAGTAAAATCATCTCCGGGCACTGATTTCTCGAGAACAGAGTCAGTCTATTGATGGTGCTGACGATGAACATGAGAAGCAGGTTGATTGTACTTTGTCGGCCAAGAATGCAGATATTAATCAGGAGAAATCTGCAAGAGATTCAACTGGACATATAAATATTTCCCCAATGGATTTGCCACAGACTAGAATTCATTTCCGGAGAGCTATGAGAATTTGAAACAAGAAATAAATGAGGAGATCTCAGACGCTGCAGCCAAAGATCTTGAGGGAAAGGCAGATAGCAGAGTGGATTAGATGGCAGTCCAGGTGCTTTACAAAGATGAGTAGCTCTTTATTAACTGTGGATAAGGTCTCTGAACTGGTGGAAAAGTTGAGACTGAAGCCTGAAGTTTCATCATCATATCAATCTTCAGAAATTGATGGCGAGAATAAGAAAAATGTGAATGATGGATTTAAAAACAGCTACAGACAGAACAGAAACTTTCTGTGGTAAAACACTTTGACTTTGTGAAAGCAACAGATGTGAAAGTGCCGCTTACGTCTGGTCATGGTAAGATATGACTCCGAGAAGTTGATGCAGTAAAAGCTGAAAACGCTGATGAGGTTGATGTGATTAGTCATCTTAGTGATGTGAAAAGCAGAAAAATGAATGGAGAAGTAAAGCTCTGTGATTCACGACGATCCGAATGAACCGAATTCGGGCTTAGCTGTCGCTGATCAAAAGTGTGAGCGCATTGAGGAAACTGTTGAATGTAAGGAGGTTAAAGGGCATCATTGTGCTGGTCCAGCTCCTCCAGAGGCATCCCCTGCATTGCAAGTGCAAGAAACAGGACAGCATGTTAGGCCTGGGGAACCTAAGTTGACTGGGGTTGAGGGAGATGAAGCAGAGGTGTCTTCATCAACCACTGCCGACACATCTTTCTCTACTGCAGGCATAACTGATATGGAAGCAAAAGTTGAATTTGATCTAAATGAAGGTTTTAATGGTGATGATGGAAAATACGGGGAGTCGAATCACTTGACAGCCCCAGAATGTTCAGGTACTGTTCAACAGTTGATTAGCCCATTGCCTTTCCCAGTTTCTCCCGTCTCTAGTAGCCTTCCAACCTCCATTACAGTAGCTGCTGCTGCAAAAGGGCCTTTTGTTCCACCAGAAGATCTCCTGAGGAGTAAAGGGGCACTTGGTTGGAAGGGGTCCGCAGCAACAAGTGCATTTCGTCCGGCTGAACCTAGAAAGGTTCTAGAGATGCCGTTGAACATATCGCTTTCTGATGCTACTCCTAGAAAACACAGTCGCCCTCCATTGGATATTGACTTGAATGTACCAGATGAGAGAATACTTGAGGATTTGGCTTCTCGGGGCTCTGCTGAGGATACATTTTCTGTATCTGACCTTACAAATAATCGTGATGTGTCACATGAACGGATGGGTTCTACACCTGCTCGTTGCTCTGGTGGACTTGACCTTGATTTAAATAGAGTTGAGGAGCTTACTGATGGTAATTTCTCAACAAGCAATGGTCATAAAGCAGATTTTCCAGTTCAGCCTGTCACATCATCATTAGGTGGTCTTTTCAATGGTGAAGTGAGTGTTCACAGGGACTTTGATTTGAATGATGGACCTCTTGTTGATGAGATGAGTACAGAACCAGCATTGTTTAACCAGAACACCAGAAGCATACCACCCCAGCCACCAATTTCTGGCCTCTGGATGAACACTGCAGATGCAGGAAACCCTGCACCATGGCATCCCAGAGGGAGCACTTATTCAACCATCACAGTTCCATCATTGCCTGAAAGAGAGCAGCAGCCTTTTTCAATTGTTACACCGGGTGCGCCCCAAAGGATGTTGGCCCCCCCTTCTGGTGGTACCCCGATTGGTCCTGATGTTTACAGGGGGGCAGTATTGTCATCTTCTCCTGCAGTTCCCTTTCCATCTACTCACTTCCAGTATCCTGTCTTCCCTTTTGGAAACACCTTTCCTCTTCCATCGGCCACTTTCTCTGGGGGTTCAACAACATATGTGGATTCATCATCTGGTGGGAGGCTATGCTTCCCTGCAGTCAATTCACAAATATTGGGACCAACAGCTGCAATCCCATCTCATTACCAAAGGCCTTATGTAGTTAGCCTCCCTGATGGTAGCAACAGTACTAATACTGAGAGTGGTTGGAAATGGGGAAGACAGGGTCTAGACTTAAATGCAGGGCCTGGAGTCCCAGATATAGAAGGTAGAGATGAGACATCACCTCTTGTGCCAAGGCAACGATCTGTTGCTAGTTCACAGGCCCTGGCAGAGGAGCAAGCAAGAATGTATCAGATGGCTGGTGGTGTTCTGAAGAGGAAGGAACCTGAAGGGGGATGGGATGGCTACAAGCGACCTTCATGGCAATAGGAATGCATATTTCACCATTTGCTGACCCATGAAATCTTGTAAGTTCTTCATTTGTGTTCTCCATGCATGTGCAATTTGTTTTTGCCGATTGTCAGTAGTCCAACTAAATACGTGACTTTGCATCAAGTTAATTAGTCTTGGCATTAGGCTAGGATTTCATTTTTGTGCAAGGTCTAGTGACCTGGTTTTGGACTCTATTAAGATAAAAAATTCCACCTTTTACCAACTAGGAAAGATATAGGAAATTGATTTTCGGGATGTCCTTTTTTTGCCTTCTATCAAATGTAAAAAATTCTTGTGCTTCTCTTTTTATTTAGGGGTGAAATATCATTCTTATGTATTGTCTTGTGTTATTATAGATGCTCTTTTTTTATTTTTTTATTCATTTATTTTTGACTCCAATTTACTTATTTTAATGTCCTCCTTTTGTTTTCTCCAGTTCTTTAAGGATGGGCAGTGGCTAACCCAGAGGTCGTCTAACTTGTGCTTTTGGAGGTTGGGTGGTAAGTGAGTTATTTGATGTTGTCCATAGTCTCCGACCCCCACCCTTCCGCTGTATCAACTTTATCATAAAGATCTGTTTGGGTCTCCAAGCTGTTTGTTCGTTGAATTTGTTCTGGGTGGTGCAGATCAGTTTCCCCTTTGTAGATATTTTAACTGTTGGAAAGCATGCACTGTGCTGCCCAGACATTCAAAACTGGTGCCTGTAGTGGTGTTTATGAATCAAGAAAATATACTGCTGGACCCAGACCAGCCCTCCTTTTCCAATCCTTATTATGGAGGATGAATTGATCTGCTTTATGCAGAAAGCCCTTTTGTATGTACTTTGATGTTAATTTATCTTTCTTTGCTTCATTCTTCCCAACCCATTTTCTTTTAGTCGCATATATATAAGCAGAGTGGTCGCTGAATTTTGATACTCAGAGCTTTTCTGGATCTGGCATGGTTTAGTTGCTGTGGTTGATCTTGTATTCTTATCTTAGTCTATTTTATTTATTAACCCTCTTTGTAGTTCATCTACTGTGTTTTATCTATCTGCCCATCTTAGCTATCAGAAATAAGATTGCTGATAATCATCCAGATTACTTTCAGCATTAACTTTTGTCTAAGCTTGTGCATTTTTTTTGCAAATTGCATTCGTGTTATCATTTTGGAGTGATGGTTGCTATGCATGTCAATTGAGTTGGCCATAAAGATGACTCTGGTAACAAGGAGAAATTGAACTAATAATTTTGAAGATTTCCTCTGATAATGTTGTACAGTTGGGTCCAGTTGTTGAAATTTTTCTTAATGTCTAATATGAAAAATAAACTTTGACGAATATCAATGCTAGTTATGTATGTGATATTTTTGGCTTAGTTATTCATGTTATAATGAATTCTATGATTAAGTTTCTCTGGATTTTGATTGTTGATGGTGTTGATGAACTCATGATCCTGGAGAAATTTCATAAATGAATGAAATTCAGGTGCATTACTGATCTGAAAACCTTGGAGAAAGATCAGGTTTGATTTTTGAGTTCCATGCATTTATTGTTGGTGATCTGTGACTTTTGACACTCCATCATAAGCTATTAATGTTACATAGTATGACAGTATGTTGTTTCTAAGAACCTACATGCTCTTGGTATCTGTTTCTCCATGAAGCCATCTTGGGTTTAGTCATGTTCGATATTTGTTGGCAAAACTAAATATTGGATGTGGGCTTTATTCCAGTATGTATTTATTATTTCTTTTAACTTTTCTATTTAAGCATGACCAGGATCACAGAGAGGGGAAATCAATGGCAGAGATTGAAATTGAATGATGAAACAAATGAATAGATGTCCCTTTTTGTTTTTCTGCCACATTCTGTTTGATAGGCAGGATTCGATGTATGAAGGCACCGCAATTTGCTTAGTTCACAATGGTTACATTTTGGCATCAAGATGGAGAGTATTTGTGGTTGTGGTTGGTCTTGGTCATGTAGGAACTTCAATTTTGTTACATTGCTTCTTATGGCAGAATTCATTACGTTTAAATATTAATTAGTGAAATCTTCAACCATGAATGGCTGTGGGTGTGGAGTACATAGATATATGTGTTCACTGCATGATTATTAAATCAGAGGTTTAGTCATTATATCTTCCATCCATTAGAAAGGAGCAAATCTCTTGTACCAAACTTGAAGAAGAGATTGTCATGGTTCAAGGTTTGCTAGATGTAATTGTCAATCAGAATGTACTGAACCATGTATGCTGATTGATAAACGTATAATTAATTACTTCGGAGCAACACCGTCAACTAGAACAAACACACCTATAATGCAAATTCTCACAACACAATTGAACTTTCAACTCTTTACAGCAAATTAATGACATATAGATTAGTGTCTCCATGACATCTTTTCTTCACAATGATTAGATCGTACGATTAGAAAATGCACGAGATAGCCACTCATAGAGATGGTTGCACTGCAGCCTACAGAAAAAAGTTCCATGGAAACGAAACAAACAGGATCCCTGCATGGAAATCAAACACTCAGGACCCCAACAGCGTGAAGAATCTCTAGGCGGTCATTGGTATGTTGACACAGGCTAGTAATCAATTCACAATTATTCTGACGAAGATGTTCTTCATTTCAGACCCACAAGGTTCCTTCCACAAAAGACATTTCTGCAAGTTCAATTACCATAAAGTCATGCCCAATTAAAAAATTAAAAAAAAAGGAAATAAGTAAACCCAGATGACAAAAAATATGGAAGCAGAAAAGTCTCACCAAATTTGAATGTAAACGAGAGAAGGCAATAAAACATTCACCAGTTCCCTTTCTCATGCCACAATATGTATTGAGAACTGGGTAAAAAAAAAATAATTGTTCCCTATATTCAGTGAACAGAAATTTTGCTACTAATTTTTGTGGTTTTGGGTGATGTTTAAGATGTTCAGTTCCTAGCACCCATTTCAGGCTAAAAGTAAATTGTCATCTGTGATGATAGCCTCAGCTTAAATCTCACATATTTCTGCTCAGCCAGCTACTAGCCAGTTTCCATTGTAACAGAGCAAGCAGTATCCAATAGGCAACAGCTAATATATTTGTCTTCTATGTACCCAGTTGTTAATTATTAAGGGTTTAGCGTCAAACAAGTATTTCTCATCTTCATTGAATCACAATTATCACAAAAGTTATGGTTGTTATGGGAGTTGATGCCCATTAAACAGAATTTGGTCTATTTTATGGGCTGAATTAGTAACAGGGGACATCTAGCACTCTAATTTTACTAGGCCATTGTTCTTGTGACTGAAATAATCACTACCTCTTTCTTTTATATTTGATTCCTAGCTTTTGTTCTCTTGACATTTTAATGGACTTTGCTTACCCTAAGAAGCACAATAAAACTACCAAGATGGATGCTCGAGAAGAAACATTGATAAAGTGCATTAAAGGCTGATGGTAAGAGAACGAATCTTAAACTAACATCTATCTTATCAGTAATTCCCAACTGCATATTATAACATGATGCAAAAAACACAACCAAGAGATAATAATCAAGTCTTAGTCTGAGAAATAAAAATACTGACAGTAGGCATCNTGATAAAGTGCATTAAAGGCTGATGGTAAGAGAACGAATCTTAAACTAACATCTATCTTATCAGTAATTCCCAACTGCATATTATAACATGATGCAAAAAACACAACCAAGAGACAATAATCAAGTCTTAGTCAGAGAAATAAAAATACTGACAGTAGGCATCCTCGATGTTGCTTTTTCTTCTTCTCCTTTTGTTTCTGTGGAGGTTTGATAACTACCCTGATTGCAGCATCAAACACTGCCTTCACATTCTGCAATGGAACAGACTCGGGTCATACATTAGCATAATATTATAGGTATAAGTGTCTTTGGGTAAATTTAATCCTTTAAAAGAAATAGATAGGCTTGGTAAAACCTGAGTCTGTGTCCTATTTGCCAGGGGAATAAATCCCCGGTCCAGGTCTAGGTAGGAAATGAAATGGCAAGGTACTGGATTTATTTATTTTAAATATTAAATAAGTCAAATAGATAAGTGAGTCATACTGTCATTGATAAGCCAAAGTTGGTCAATCTGTCTAATTTCACATTTCAATAAGCATGCAATTTTTTGATCACCATCATTAGTTCAAGATGAGTACCCAACAGCACTGGAATACTTTCACAAAAGGAACATCTTAGTTAAATAAATTTAGCCAAGTATTCAAAGGGTATAGAAAAAGCACGTAAACTCCACAGAGAGCCTTAATAATGGGAATATCAGCATCAAGCAAGCATAGTCAAGATCTTCAAAAAGATCCACAAAAGTTGGGAGGATATCAAGTTTAGTATAATGGCAACATAACTATGATATTATTCATGATAAAGACTTTGGCACAATGTGTATCTTGTCTCCAAGAGACTTAATTTTCCTGTAGAATATCAGAAAAAGAGTCTTGTTGTGTGTTAACACTAACTTTCCTGTTAAGCTTTAACATACCTGCTGAGTTTTTGAGCTGCACTCAATGTAATATGAAGCACCAATCTGTTTACGGAGTTCCTCTCCCTGATTATATAAGAAAGATTGCAACCAAGAACTTAGAGCACTGACTGAAATATTTCAAAGATAGAGCATAGAGCAACAAATTAACAGAATCATACTTGTGCAGTGGTCACAGGCACCATTCCTGGGTGATCAGCCAAATAATGTTTATCCTCACGAAGATCTGCATGTTTTAAACCCCACATTTGTTCAGAAAATTAAATTTGTTTCAAATAACTAGTTTACCATAATAAATGAAGATAAATATAAATGCAGCTCATATGTTGTTCTCAGTGTAATATGACATGAGAATGAAAATTTTTCAATAACAAATTTAACAGTTGTGTAAGGCGCTGTAACTTTTTGTTCATTTTAATTCAGTAGACTCATATAATACTTCTTTAAAGATAGGGGAAGTTTAGTACCATCACCTCTACATGGGAAGGGCTTGCCTTAGACTTGGTTTAAAAACTGGAAAAAAATTGGGACTCCTTACTGAATTGAAACATTTAAAAACTAATAGGAAGTAAGATAAAGAGAACAGAAAATGGTGTTGATCAGTCAAGAAGCGAGTAAATCTAACTTCGCATACTCATTCAGCAAATCAACTAAATACTAAATGCAGTTCTCCGATATACATAAGGGAGATGTTTGAATATTATTGACCACAGAAACTCATCAAAGATGAGAACATGGAAAAAATTTCGAAGTGCAATATTATAAAGTTGAGGTCTTCCAGTGTTATTATAACTGTTTACTCAGATACCCTTGTCCTAAGCATCCCGTTCAACTAGGTCTTAGTTTGCAAATTTCAAACCTCGCTGATAAATATCAAAGACAAGAAGAAAAAAAGAATTCAGCTTTTAATTGTAAATGTCATACAATTATAGCCACATAGTGCAAATTACACCTGTCTTAATCTTGCACATTTCAGTTGATTACTTAGAAATAACTTATCATACTTTCCTGTAAAACTAGGGAACTAGTAATGACAGATAATTTACCTTTAATACATGTTTGCAGTCTTCATTAATAGTCAACATAAGATGAAACTGTCAACATCTAAAGCTGTGTGTTTGACAGTCGGTATGTGAAAAGCTTTCATTTAAATAGTCAGAACCTTAGACATTTTTAAAATGGTATAGCACCTGAATTAAATTTTCTTTCTTCAAAAAGTTAAATATCAAAACCTAGATTAAATCACACAACAGAATGCTTGTTGCAGCCTGAACCATAAAGATTGACAAGTTAATGCTCTTTAAAAGTCCTGCTATTGATCACACAATAAAGTCACAAACCTCAACTTATCTCAACAAATCATCAAAATCCTCACCAGATTGTCATGGTTTAATGAAATCCCCTTCCTTTCACGTCTAAGGATGTGTTTTCTATCAGATTATTTGCCACTAAATGTTTGTTCACTATTTCAATGCACATTCAGTTTTTCTTCCTCCAGTCCTCAAACACCTAAAACTGAAATTACCTCCTTGCCAATGCAACTTTGCTCACGAAGAAATGATTTAAAGAAAATTCTTTCCTTCAAATTGATATTACTATCTTCAGTGCCACAAGCTTCTTTTAGTTGCATTGGTTAATATTCTACTGCTTCCTTTACAAATTACAGCCACCACTGAACAGAATATCTATAATTCGCCTACAGTTAACATTGTACATGATGCTTCTGGATGCAAGCATTCTTTGCTATCGGGGTAGTTCATGTCGATTGCTATTCTATGAGCACAAATACTTTATAGGTTCACCATTTCACTATTTTCTAAGGACAAGATCACAATGATTTCACCTCCCGTGTAAATAAGTAATCCAAAATGACAGATCAGTCATCTCAATATCCCTTGCCATCCAATGTTAGATATCTTCTGGTGTATACTCCTAAAAGATCAGTGAAATTATGTTCCATCTTTTCTGTGTGAGTCCTGCTTTTAGTTAAGCCTGCAAAACACCGTCTTTTGTAGATGGATTATAACTGGAAAATGGTACACCCACCTCTATTATCAAATTATTCTTCATCCAAAAACAAGATGGTGTCCTATCTACCAAGACATTTTCTAACAATCACTGGCACTAAAGGATGATTTATTATCGCAAGCAACTGGCAACAAACAAGAAATAAGTCATAAATGGCACTGAATTGGGGTATGCTTTCTGACTTACCCAATTTGGTTCCAACCAATACAACTGGTACTCCAGGAGAGTAATGCTGAAGTTCAGGGATCCACTGACCAGGTAATCACACATTAGAAAACGGAAATACAAGAACATATGCTCAAACAAGATAAAAAGAAATTCAGGTTAATGCACCTTTTTCAGAACATTCTCATAGCTGGCTCGACTAACTAATGAGAAAGCTAAGACAAAAACATCTGCTCCTCTGTAGCTCAAGGGCCTCAACCTGTTGTAATCCTCTTGCCCTATGATATTCATTGAAACACACATAAAATGATAAATTGCCTAATTTGCTGAGATGTTATCTTTGCAGTAAAACAATGGAGACAACTCATGAAGCGTAAAATGATTGCGACTGTAAATCAGAGAAATCATACCAGCCGTGTCCCAGAGGCCTAAGTTGACAGTAGTGCCTTCAGCTATCACATTTGCACTGAAGTTATCGAACACTGTTGGTATATAATCCTGAAAAGCACAGTAACCATTAGAATTCAAATTATTATAATCTACCAAATAGAAAGAGCCAACCAGAACAACAAAAGAATCTCCTTCTGCTTATCTTAATTTGCCACAAACAAAAGTAAAGTACACATAAAGAATAGGTAAATTATAAATGAAAACCTAAAAAGGGAAACTAGTCACAATTTATATAGGCCAAAAGGAAAGTTTGCGCAGAAGCAAAATTTTGTAATTGTTGTTAAAGTAAGTCATGAAAAGCACAGAAAAGCTGCCGTCTCCTGAGTCCTGAACACTGAATAATATACCAAAAAAAAAAAAAAAGAACTGACAAACCCAGATGGATGATGTTGAAGAAGAAAGAGTACATACAGTAGGAAACTTGTTACTTGTATAGCAAATAAGCATGCAAGTCTTGCCAACAGCTCCATCACCAACTGTCACACACTTGATGAACCTTGAAGCACTAGAAGCCATTGTAACCAAAAACAAAACAAACCAACAACAAACAAACAAGAGAAGAAAGATAGGTCTTTTAAGAGTTAAAAGTGCTGGTAAACACTAAAAAAACTTCCCCCCCAAGAGAAAACAAAAACAAAAGAAAAGGATGGTTTGTTGGTGGACAAATTTATGGCTTCTTTGGTTAGTGGTGGATCACATGATTCTCACTCATTTACCATTTCTGTAGCAAATTTCTTCACTTTTTTGGCTTGGTTTCAAGACTCAAGATTGGGTTTTTATTGCTTAGATGATTGCACATTTTGAATTTAACCTTTCTTTCTTTATATATATATATAATCGTGTTTTCTTAAAGGGACAGCTGTTGCATTTATTTTAATCCCAGAATTAAATTTGAAGGCAGGCTTTTGTAGTTTGTACTGTAGCCTTTAACAATTGGACAAAGTCACAAAACGGTGAACGGCTCGCCCGTGATCATTCCCCAGAGTCTGATAAATGCTAAGCCTTCGATTCACAAATATTAATTCACATTTTATACCTTAATTAATTGTCTTTTTCCATAAGGCACCACCAGAATTAATTAGAATCATCAAATCATGGACCACAAAGCAGAGAAACAAAAGGGTAGCTCACAACCACTCTTTTGTTTGTTTCCATAGAAAATTGACTTGGAAAAAGTGGTCCTTGTTTACCAAAAGAAAAAAGTTAAAAAAAAAAAAAAAAAAAAATGGAGCCTTTAGTTAAATGTAGAGAAGTTTAACCTACCATTAATTCAAAATTATTCGTTTGGGGCCATGGACACTGGACCTGAATCATTTGGTTTTTCCTTCAAGTGGGGATTTAAAGAATTAATCAATTTAGAATTTTGTATGATCCACTATTGTGCAAAGTTGAAAGATAAAGGCAGTTTTAAAGCAAGAAAATGGGGTAGCTGGCTTTGAATTATTGCAGGCTTCAAAAGGAGGAGGAGCTGTTCAAGGTATAAGTAAAAATAAGTAACATAATAAAGAATGATTTGCCATAAAGTGGAAATTAAACTATTATTTATTTGATTCTAAAGTGGAGTTTCATGTAGGCCATTGACAAGGCCTTTTCTTTTTCTTTTGGCCATTTTTTATTTTATTCCAAACAGTTTTTGATTAATATCACCTTACAACAATGCTTCTGCTACAATATTTGTTCCACTGTAATTATTTTGGCCTGCTGTTATTGTTAATTTAATTCACAAAGGCTCAACAAACATTATAATGGCACCAAATCTTAGGGTTTTGTGAACATTTAAATGCAATTATGGCCATCCATCGTAATTTTCGCTTCAAAGGGAGGCATCTATGCTTACATTGGTTTCACAATGTTTTTGCCAAATTCGATGTATTAACTATATTTGTGATGAGTGGTTAATAAGACTTTTAGTATATTACTTAAGATGTCCTAAAGTCGAATTCCTCCTCGTTGTTAATAAGGAAGTCACTGGAGTTTTGTCTGATCAGTAGTTTCAAGTTTGAAAAATTAGTTGAGTGTGTGTAAATTAAAATGGTCCGGATACCCCGTCATTTAAAAAAAAAAAAAATCGCATTTGTAACTTAAATCATTATATTCTTTCTTTGTAATTTCTATATGTTTAAAATAGAATTTGGTGGGCTTAAGAATAAATAGTTAAATACCATCTAACTCGTAACAAAGAAATCTCATCAACAGTTAGAAGCCTCAAAAAGAATTTGTGAGCCATGAATTCAGCTAGCCCAATTTTTACAATTTCCTTCACTTCCATCTTCCCGGTGTCAGCTCGCTTCCTCAATTTCTTCCGAAATCTTCCCTCCGTAACAAATGATTGAATTCGCAATCTTTCCAAACCTAAACCTCCTCAAAACCTTTCAAATATAAACCTTTATTCAACATCCCAAAATGTCTGAAGTTAAACGTAAACGTGGCCGCAAACCTAAAATCCCCGCCACACATGAAGAAACCCTAGACGCTCCCTCCTCCAACACCACCTCCTCCGCCGCAATGGACGACGTTTTCTCCGTCTCAAATGTCGAAATAATCCCCACCACTAATCCTTCCACCATCGCCACCACGACGGCAACCACCACCAACAACCATCAGCAGCATCCTGATCATCGTCCTCGCCGAGGCCGTCCCAAGAAACTTCCGAAACACGAAATCCCAGAAGAAAAACCGCCCCCACTTCCGCGCATTTCCACTATAGGGGTTTCTCGGACGTTGGAAAATGGCGGGGATTCTGTTGGAGGGGGGCCGGCCGTGGCCAGAGTTGTACCGGCTATGGACGCTGTTGTCAAGGTGTTTTGTGTCCACACGGAGCCGAATTTTTCGTTGCCGTGGCAGAGGAAACGACAGTACAGTTCGAGTAGTAGTGGATTTGTGATTACTGGTAGGAGGGTGTTGACAAACGCGCACTCTGTGGAGCACTACACGCAAGTTAAGCTCAAGAAAAGAGGCTCCGATACTAAGTACTTGGCTACTGTGCTTGCTATTGGGACCGAGTGCGATATTGGTAAGGGATGTTCTTTTAGCTTATTTTTGGAAAGTTATTTGTAGTTGAAAGTTGGAAATGTGCATTAACTAGTTATAGAGTCCGGTGTAGTTGCTTTAGTTTGTATGTTAGCTGATCAAGGATAAAATTTGAATCATTTATATGATATAGTAGGACCCACTTCTTACATGTCTAACTTAACAGTGGGATATACTTTTTAGGCCATCCTTTCAATAAAATTAGTTCTTCAGCTATGTTGTTATAATTGGAAAATTTATGTGATTTGGATCGTTATATTTTTTGAATGATATCATTGGTTAGTTTCATTGAGTGCAAGAATTGTCTATATATGTTACGTGCATATATTATATAGTTGAGAAGAATTGAATATGTAGAAACATGTGAATGTTATGCGTGAAAAGGATGGTAGGTTTCACGAGTGTATGTTGGGAGATTGAAGTTCTTTTGTTAGTACTGAATGTTGTAAATCTATTTAACTATGTAAGGTTAAATTGATTTGGATGATATTCTTGTGTTTAATGCGAGTTTTGGTTTTTGTCATGTGGCAGCCATGCTTACGGTCAATGATGATGAATTCTGGGAAGGAGTATCACCAGTGGAGTTTGGAGAATTGCCCGCCCTTCAAGATGCTGTAACTGTTGTGGGTTATCCAATCGGGGGAGACACCATTTCTGTGACGAGTGGTGTTGTATCACGTATAGAGATCCTATCTTATGTTCATGGGTCAACTGAGCTCTTGGGTCTACAGGTTTTGGATTTCATTTCAAGATATCGGTAGATTTGTTGCCAGCCATCTGAGATGTTGTTCTCTAATTTATTTTATTTTATTTTTTATTTTTTTCTTTTTTTCAGATAGATGCTGCTATAAATTCTGGAAATTCTGGTGGGCCTGCCTTTAATGATAAAGGCAACTGTGTAGGCATTGCATTTCAGTCTCTTAAGCATGAAGACGTGGAAAATATAGGTTATGTCATACCAACGCCAGTCATAATGCATTTCATCCACGATTATGAGAAGAATGGAGCATATACAGGTTACTTGGTTACAGCCTTGACATGCTTGCATGTTTTCAGATTTTGCTGGTTCTGATTACTGTACTTATTTACTGTGTAATCAAATTTAATCTTGAATTTGTTATGGGATATGCTGCTTCAGCATCTGTTGCACTGAATCTTAAAAACTTTATTTATACAACATAGGATTCCCTATTCTTGGAGTTGAGTGGCAGAAAATGGAAAATCCTGATTTGCGTATGGCAATGGGTATGAAACCTGAACAGAAAGGTGTTCGTATCCGAAGAATTGATCCTACTGCTCCAGAATATGAGGTTTTGAAGCCATCAGATATCATTCTAAGCTTTGATGGGGTTGATATTGCGAATGATGGAACTGGTAACTGCAGATTTCTCATTTTTGCGGTCTTATCTGATGTGTACATATTTATTTATGCTTTTACGTGCTGTTCATGTCTTATTTTTGTTTGACAAGTAAAATATTTCCAATAGTACTGCTGTGTGGTTTTGACATGGCTCTTTCCTCCCTTGCTTGTTGAATTTACAGTCCCCTTTCGGCATGGAGAGCGCATTGGCTTTAGTTATCTTGTCTCTCAAAAGTATACTGGGGATAGTGCAGCAGTCAAAGTTCTTCGTGATTCCAAGATTCTCAATTTCAACATGAAACTTGCCACACATAGAAGGCTTATTCCATCTCATAACAAAGGGAGGCCTCCATCATATTATATTATTGCAGGATTTGTTTTTTCGACAGTGTCTGTTCCATATCTTCGCTCTGAGGTGTGTAGTCTACTCTGATATTGGTATGCTTTCTGTATATAGTGTCTTGGTCTAGAACAATGACTTGAAAGCTGTTGTTCCTTGCATGTATTCTCTATTGCTTTATTGCTACTGTATGATAATTGTAATGGTTCAAAGCACGTATGCTTGGATCATTGTTGAATATGATGTGGAAGATTCCATCTTTATTCTTTCAAAATTCTTAAATAATGTTCATTAGTGAGTGTGAAATGTTTTTGTGCCTTTATGCATGCATAAGATTCTTTACTATTGTTCTTAATTATTGTCAAATTTTTGCATTGCTGCATGAAAATATTATGTGATTGATAGTGTATATATGTGTGTACAAGTGAAATAAAATAGATGCTAACTGCTCCAATATGTATGAAAACTCTGTTCTGCCTTTTCATTTATCCACATCATCATATATTCTGTTCGATCCTAGATAATAACTTAATTGTATGTCCTTACGGCCTTTTTGATGTCTTGGCACACCAATTCTGCTATTGATATGTACAGAAAATAACAAAATTCTGATAACTGGTTTAGAAGAAAAATGAGGAATTTCATGCTTAGTTATTTAAATTGTACAGTCTGTTATCTTCTAAATGGTTCCATTAGATCCCATGATTTTGTACAATTATATTAGAGGACGTTTATCCATTATCATAGTGAGGCTGTAGAATGTGCTTACATCAGCATTATTCTATGGAATGCTTAGTAATACCTGTGTGCTATGTTACATCATCTCTCTTTTTCTCATTCCCTCCTTTGAATATGTGCAATCAGGATATGTGCAGTCGGTTACTGTTATCTTAATAATGAAAATTATATGTATGCCTGATTGTCTCCAATTCTTAAGAGGTTTCATATAACTTGTTTACTTATTTCTCATCTTGGACGATATGGACTCTGTCAAGGTTCCTTCATGTTTTATCAAAGGAAGAAGCCATTAATTTTATTCTGTTGATGCCGTTGAGGCTTCTGTTTTCATAGACTTTTGCTGCTACTTTATTTGATTTTCCTTTTTCTATTAGGATAGATTTTATGTCTTGTTTGTCATTGTGAAGGTTCTGAATGTTCTAACATGCTGTAAGTTCTTTTTCGATATATGTGCAGTATGGAAAGGATTATGAATATGAAGCCCCAGTCAAGCTTTTGGACAAACTCTTATATTCAATGCCACAATCGCCAGATGAGCAGCTTGTTGTCGTTTCTCAGGTTTTTCTCTCTCTGGGTTACTAGAGTATGATGAGGTTTTATGTTGATTCTCTCATTCGTACCTTTTACTATTTCCTGGAAATTTGTGGTAGGTGCTTGTGGCTGATATTAATATTGGGTATGAGGAAATTGTTAACACTCAGGTGAGGAATGAAAATCTGAGGCAACTGCTTTGATTCCTGTGTTTGAATAGCTTAACATGTCAGTTGTTAAATACTTATCATTCTGAGAAACTATGTAGGTTCTTGCTTTTAATGGTAAGCCCGTGAAGAATTTGAAGTGTTTGGCGAACATGGTAGAGAACTGTGATGATGAATTTTTGAAATTTGATCTAGAATATGATCAGGTCCTCTCTCTCTCTCTTGCTCTTGCTCTCCCCGTGTGTATATGTGGATATTCATGTGTTGAGGATGCATAGACATGTTGCTACTCATATATTGATCTGTTGAGGATGCATAGACATGATGCCTACTCATATATTGATATAAGTCTTGTTGTATGCAGATTGTGGTCCTCCGTACGAAGACTGCAAAAGCAGCGACCCTGGATATTCTTACAACCCATTGCATACCTTCAGCAATGTCTGATGATCTAAAGAAATGAATTTGATCATAATTTAGTTTCACCGAATTTGGCATTTGTCGTAGTTGTCAACAATTACTGCAATTTTTGTTTTCTGCTAGATCTTGAAAGACATATCAGCTTCTGCAGGGTGGAGTTGATAGCTATTTATCAGAAATTGCTTAAATATTATTCTATGAAACCTTAGGGGGGTCTCGGACAACATTGAGAGTGAGAGAGATCTCCCTGGTAAGTGATAGCCTTTTGCTCACCACCGGTGGAGAAAACATGTAGGTTGTAAAAAGTTAAAAATTAAGTGGACAGCGACTTTCGTTTCTTTTATCTACATATGGTTTTGGAGATAGCTTAGCCATTTGTAATATTGATAGATTATTCAATGTTTGCTGGCAAAAATGAATGCAATCGAGATGTTTGAGAACTAATCATATCCTAAGGGGATGATATTTTACCAATCATGGGAAAGAAATATGGAATCTTTCATCAGCATGCAGATTATAATCATTATATAGCCAAGGGATTTAGCATAGAGAAGAAGCTGGAATACGTTTCATATCTTTTGACTTGACTAGTTGAATTTCTGATAGTCACAATCTATTAAATCCAGCCATGGATCAGGAATCAACTTATGCTGTTTGAACCGTATGCACAAATCAAGGTTAACTTGTGAGCAAGCTGCTCATGCTTTCCTTTACCAAATAAAAGATTAACTGCATTGGTTTACACATTTACGTAGCTATCTAAGAGAGGTGTCTTTTGCGAATATGCCTGTGGTCTGTCACATTTGTACGCTTCACCTTTGTTCTTTTCTTCTTTGGACTGTGCCCATATAACACCGTAGAAACCCACAACAATTATTATTGCTCCGATAACACTGCAGAATGAGTGCTTTCAAGGTTAATAAAATATTTCGCCTTTTGAAAATGTTGCATTTCTTCTTCCATAGCTGTTTTGAGGTGCTGGAAGCAGTACTTTATAAGCAAAGAGATTGTTACCTTCCAATGTGGAGAGTGTCACCAAGGAAGATGGCACCCATAAAGGCAGCAATAGAAATCCCCACAGGCTTGAACATGGCAACAAACACAGGTCCTTTTCTTCGTATGCACCATGCAACTACACCATATGTCACCACATTCCCAAACACTGCCTGTAAAATAAGACAAAGCGAACAGGTTACTGATTTTTTGGAGGACTAAAGATGTAAGTTAAAGAAGTGGTCAAGACTAATATTGTATTCTTACTGCGTATACGACAGAGATGAGCTCGATATCAGGCCTAATTTTCCATGCATTCGGGTTTCTCTCTGCAATCAATGAAACTATTGTACACTGAACGGTGCCAAAGAAGCAGTAGAAGGTGACTAAAGTCATCTCTGATGGATATCCTTTAAGAATTGCTGCCTTCAAATATAGAATGAACAGATATTACTTCCACTCTCACTAAGATTATGAATTAGTGAAGAAATACACAACTTTCTAGTCATGGCATGAAATTGCTTCTTGCCTGAGAAATGTTCAATATAGCAATTGATAAACTAGCAGTTGCAAGGAAAATGCCCCCAATGACCCAATCATTTGTTGCAGTCTCAGCAGGTAAGGAAGATGGTTGCGGTTGAGGCACAGCGCCTATTGCAGGACCCTTGTAAAGGGTTACAATCCATGCTCCTAATATTGATACCAGAGTGCCCAAAATTTTTACCTGGCTTCTTAAACTTCTCAAACCCAACTTTTCCATCCTTCAAAAAACGATTTAGTCAATGGCGAAACCCCATATAACCACTAACCCTTTATGCTCATCATACATCTTTAATCTTCTCAAAAGAATTTGAGATATTCAATAATATAAGAAGGAACCATTACTCATCTGAGTTCTTTGGATTCAATAAAACAAAAACAGTTTTAATCCACCTATATTTACATCTTCGCATTCATACAATCATCATTTCTCAATTTCAAGCTAATTACAGGGAAAGCACTTTCCCATCTCTCTTCAATAAGATAAAAAGAAAAAGGAAGAACCTGAAGATAGCAGCAAGCAAGAAAGTGAACGCTGGTGTTAAGTTGCTCATTGCAGAGCCAAGAGTAGGAGAGCTGTAGTTGATACCAGTGCTCACACAATTCTGCATCAAAGTAATCCTACAAAACGCGCAGAGCACAATCAAGTTCAAATTCTTCCACCATTTCTGAAATCAACCTCTTAAATTCAAATACACATACCCCACAAGACTGAGGAGGAAAACTTTACCCAGGAAAGATAAGGTCAGTGGAGGTCCCTTTCTCCTACACACAAAGATCAAACAATTAGTACATAAATATGGGTATTGTTGATTACCAATAAAGCAGAAGATGTAAATTAGCTACCTGAATATGATAAAATAAGATGGGAGGAGGATGAGAGAAGCAATAACGTTTGCATAGACAACAAAGACGAAATGACTCAAGCCTTTGGACATGGCTGCTTTGTTGAGTGTTGTTAGACCAACATCAAAGGTCTCAACAGCCACAATCGCTGCAAATGGCAGCAATTCGACCAAAAATGACTTCACTCCCATCACTCTTTCCGTCTTGCTGCCTAGATGTTGCGGAAAAATTCATGTGCAAAATTCACTGTCGGAAGTATTTTATTATTCTCATCACACTGAGCAGTGAACAGTGACTATTAGTTGACTTTCTTCTTTGGTTCTTTGGTGGAAAACTAACCAAGAAGAAAAAGAGTAGACGAAGGCTCCGTTTGGCTCTTTGAGAATATTATTATTAGTATTCTCAATCAAATTAAATAGTAAATTTATAAAAACTTATAAAATTATTTAATATTATTCAATTTTTTTTTAAATTCCTTAAATTTGTTAATTTAATTAAATACTCCTAATTTTTTTTATAGAAATTACAAAAAAACCTTAGCAACTCATATTTACCAGATTCCAGCCACTACCATCGAAAAATAGCTGAAATTTAGTATAATGACGCACTACTGGCTGAATCTGGCCAGTGGTGCGCCGATCTAGCATTTTCTGGCTAGATCCACGATGAATCTGGCCGAAAAAAGCCAGATCTAAGGCCAAAGATCTGGCCGTTGACGGCCAGATCTTTTGCCGTAGGCAGTCGTCAACGACGGCCAACACATGGTTGTCGGCCATATCTTTGGCCGTCATTGGCCAGATCTAGCCGTAGATCTGACCTTGGCCTACCAGATCCATCGTGGATCTGGCCGAAAAAGGCCATATCGGCGCACGACCGGCAAGATCCAGTCGGTTATGTCCCGATACAACGACTCCGGCCACCCTCCGGCGGTGGTGGCCGACTGTCCATATTTAATGGGTGGATTGGGGGTGTTTTTGTTAATTTTTAATGTTTTATTATAGAGATGTTTAGTAAATAAACAAACATAGGGGGGTGTTTAGTAAATAAATAAATATAAGGGGTATTTTTATTTATTTCCAAATCCTACATCGTAATACCCGCCTAATTCAACTTTTTTTAACTTTTTTCCAAAAACTTTTCTAAAAAGTGTAAAAAAGTGAACCAAATAGAGCCGAAGGTTTTCTTAATTCTACTTTCTCATCCAAAATTATTCAGAATACCACTTTTTCATCCAACGTCTATATTCCGTTAATATCCAAAATACCCTTCACTTTCTTAGCCGACGTTTGGCGAGTTACTAAAAGTTAGGATAAGAGGGTTTTTGTAGAAATGGGAGGTAGGTGATCGAATGGTGGTGACTGATTGAATATTTGCCACTAAAATCAGTTAGAAATCAGCTAAGAACAAGAAACCTAGCTTTGCGGTTAGACTGGCAAACGGGGGGTGTACCCGCGGGTCAACGGGTACCGTACCCAAAGGGCGGGTACGGGTAATACATATCTCACACCCGTGAAAAATTAACCCATACCCGGCCTGCCTGTGACTTTACGGGTGGACGGGTACTACCCGCGGACTTGCAAATTCAAAATTAAAAGAAAAAAAAAAAACTGCTGAATCAGAATGACTCGTCTATCTCTCCACATCCACTCTCAAGTCTCAACTCAAACCCTAATCTAAAGTAAAATAGCAAAACTTATCAGAGAAAAGAAAAAAAAAACGCAGCAGCCATTCTCTTCCACAGCAGCTCCACAGCCTCCACTGCTCCAGTCCTCTCACAGCAGCTCCACTCCTCACTCTCTCACTCTCACAGCAGCTCCACTCTCCTCATTCTTTGACTTCTCTAACGGCAGCAGCAGGTCACGCAGCAGCAAGTCTCACTCACGGCAGCACCAGCACGGCAGCAACAGTCTCCTCTCACGGCAGCACCAGCACGGGCAAGCAGCAGCAGGTCACGGCAGCAGCAGATCTCACTCACGGCGGTACCAGCCGGCAGCAGCAGCAGTCCTCTCACGCAGACCAGCACGGCAGTGGGGCAGGACCTTTAAATATTTTGTAGTTGAATGAATATTTGTTTTGTAACAGTCTGTTACTGGGTGAGTGGGTGGGTTGTGGTTTAGACTTTTAGTTCATTTTTATTTGGTGGGTTCATTTATTTGTTTGACCATGAAACTTATTACTTCTATAAACTTTTTTTATTATCTAATTGATTGTTGTCGTGTTGATGCGTATAACCTGTATAATCTATCAGTTTTAATATTGTTTTAATTAGTGATCATAATTCATCATACAGAGTTATAATTTATTATAAGATTAATATTATTAATATTGGATATTCTAACTAAATATCCTGTCTCCATGTTGACATTTTGCTAATCTTTGAATCAGAGGCGAAGGCGGTTGTTTGTTTATGATCGTTTTCTTTTGGATTCATATCTGGAAATGGAATACTGTAAACAGTGAGCTTCATTAATAATGTTATCATTTCTAAAGTCAACTGGAAAATAAGAGGAAACAAATTCATCGGCTTCAAATTATTGATACATGAATAATTGGATGGGGCTGTTAGAATTAAAATTTTCTATTTTCGATTGGTGCACCAAACTTATAGATATTAATGTAAGTAATCATGTTTAAATTCTTTATTAATTTTTTTTTTGGATGAATTTTTATGAATTATGATTGGTATACTTATTGGAGTTGAGAGGTGTGATTGTTGAGTTGGAAAAATCCAGTCATTTGGTAGGGCTGGTTTGCTTGTAAAATATAGGGAGTGTTTTATTTTTTTGATGAATTGTTATGAATTATGATTGGTTAATTAATTTAAATGTAAATACTTGTTGTGCCTTTAGATTGGCTTGGTATGGAGGACTCTACAGATTTAGGAATGGGTCGTAATGTAGTCGTAGGTCAACTTCCTTCTACTGGTAGTACTGTTGTCCAAAAAGACGTAAAGTTTCAGAGTTTGGGGGCAATTACAACATATACAGAAGATAATGGGGAAGTGAGGGTAAAGTGTATGATTTATGGTAAGTCTTATGCACATGGTAGTTCCAGTCATGGGACTAAGAATATGAGGCGCCATATGGAAGGTTGTCCTAAACGTACCATTACTACTAGTGTAGATCAAATGATGATGGATTGTGACACTAAATTGAGACGTTTGAAGATTTCTCAAGAAATTTATAGTGAGAAGATGGCAATAGGAATCATAAAACATAATTACCCATATTCAATAGTGGAGCATGAAGGAATTAGGGATGTCCATATGTATTTGAATCATGAAGTTAAGCATTATACTAGGAACAACGCTAAGGCAGACTGCTTAAAGATATATTACAGGGAGAAGGAAAGGATTAAGCTTGCTTTAGAGAGGGTTTCGGGTAGAATATGCTTGACTTCTGATATTTGAAGTTCTTGTACTACTAATGGGTATATTTCTTTAACGGCTCACTATGTTGATGAGAACTGGGAGTTACAGAGTAGAATTATGAATTTTAGCCATATTCCTCCTCCACACTCGAGGGCTCTTTTGTCAGACATAGTGTATGATTTCTTAAAAGATTGGGGGATTGAAAAGAAAGTCTCCTCTCTTACATTAGACAATGCAAGTAACAATGATAAAATGGAAGACATTTTAAGGAGTCAACTTTGTCTGCAAAATGTTTTATTATGTGNATCGCTGCAAATGGCAGCAATTCGACCAAAAATGACTTCACTCCCATCACTCTTTCCGTCTTGCTGCCTAGATGTTGCGGAAAAATTAATGTGCAAAATTCACTGTCGGAAGTATTTTATTATTCTCATCACACTGAGCAGTGAACAGTGACTATTAGTTGACTTTCTTCTTTGGTTCTTTGGTGGAAAACTAACCAAGAAGAAAAAGAGTAGACGAAGGCTCCGTTTGGCTCTTTGAGAATATTATTATTAGTATTCTCAATCAAATTAAATAGTAAATTTATAAAAACTTATAAAATTATTTAATATTATTCAATTTTTTTTTAAATTCCTTAAATTTGTTAATTTAATTAAATACTCCTAATTTTTTTTATAGAAATTACAAAAAAACCTTAGCAACTCATATTTACCAGATTCCAGCCACTACCATCGAAAAATAGCTGAAATTTAGTATAATGACGCACTACTGGCTGAATCTGGCCAGTGGTGCGCCGATCTAGCATTTTCTGGCTAGATCCACGATGAATCTGGCCGAAAAAAGCCAGATCTAAGGCCAAAGATCTGGCCGTTGACGGCCAGATCTTTTGCCGTAGGCAGTCGTCAACGACGGCCAACACATGGTTGTCGGCCATATCTTTGGCCGTCATTGGCCAGATCTAGCCGTAGATCTGACCTTGGCCTACCAGATCCATCGTGGATCTGGCCGAAAAAGGCCATATCGGCGCACGACCGGCAAGATCCAGTCGGTTATGTCCCGATACAACGACTCCGGCCACCCTCCGGCGGTGGTGGCCGACTGTCCATATTTAATGGGTGGATTGGGGGTGTTTTTGTTAATTTTTAATGTTTTATTATAGAGATGTTTAGTAAATAAACAAACATAGGGGGGTGTTTAGTAAATAAATAAATATAAGGGGTATTTTTATTTATTTCCAAATCCTACATCGTAATACCCGCCTAATTCAACTTTTTTTAACTTTTTTCCAAAAACTTTTCTAAAAAGTGTAAAAAAGTGAACCAAATAGAGCCGAAGGTTTTCTTAATTCTACTTTCTCATCCAAAATTATTCAGAATACCACTTTTTCATCCAACGTCTATATTCCGTTAATATCCAAAATACCCTTCACTTTCTTAGCCGACGTTTGGCGAGTTACTAAAAGTTAGGATAAGAGGGTTTTTGTAGAATGGAGGTAGGTGATCGAATGGTGGTGACTGATTGAATATTTGCCACTAAAATCAGTTAG